ACCGGAACCCGGCCAAGCAGCGGGCTGCCTATGAGTGGCAAGCGGAGCTGGCCTAGAAGCATGCTCAGCAGATGCGGCGCCTTGCCGACCTGCGGCAGCGGAAGGATGTGGCAGCTCTCATGCCGGAAGGGTATGCACGCCAGATGTGCCAGTCGGCGGAAGTCTTCACGAAACTCGGTGTCACCAACGCGACAGGCACGACGCTGGTCCGCTCGTGCCAGAGGTACGACAACTTCCATTGTCACAATACCGAGGAGAACAGGTCGATGTTCGTGAAGTTTTATGCCAACGTGGCCTTGTTTGCTTACCACTACTGGGTGCTGGCTGGCGTTGACGTGTTGCGCAAAGACGCGAACCTCTTCGCGAAGCCGCGTGGAGAGAAGACGCAGCGCCAGTACATGCTTGAGCACATTTGGAAGCGGCGCATCGATTCCGGATATCTTTTCTTGGGCGACTTCGACAAGCACCATGAGTTGATCCCGGGAGAGAAAAGGCAAACAGCCATTGACCAAAAGAATGGCTGGCTCCTGACGGTCACTGAGACTGATGAGGTCGCGTACATGGATGATGTTGGCGACCCCGTCTATGCGACCAAGGAGCAGATTGCTGCTGCAAAGCTCCTGCCATTCAATCAGCGACTCTACAACTTGCCACGGGGAACCGTTGGTCCGGATGTCTATGACGAGGGTCAGGATGTGCAAACCGCGCCTGAACTGTCAACGGCTGATCAGCTGATGCCGGATGCAAATGTGCCAGAGGTCATCGAGATCGACGACACCTTTGCGCCCAGCGCTGATTCGCCTCCGGGGACGGAAGGCCGAGATGCAAACAACCAGGCTCCTGTGAACACTCCGGGCATGGAGTTCGTGTCTGTCACCGTTGAAATGCCAAAGCATGGTGACACCGAGGTGGATCCTATTGCCATCACGGAGGAGGAGGAACTCCATGTGTCCAATGACCCCATTGCGGATGAGAATTACGTCAACGAGCTTATCAAAGATCACCTTGATTCCGCCGCCAAACAAGGCTTTGAAAACAAAGACCAGCCAGATGATGACTCAGATGAAGAGATTGTTTTCAAGGAACCGATCCTCACATCTATGCATGCCGACTCATGTCAGGTCGCGGGTGTCACTTACCAGTTGAGGAAGAAGGATGATGAAAGCGATGTCATTCGAATATACATGGCAGAGGAAGACATCCCGCAGCTCACTGGTGAAGCACTCAGGAAGTTCCGTGAGGTTACAACTTTGGGGAACGAACCCGACCTGGCCAACAAGGCACCCCAAAGCGCCTCAAGAGACTGCAAAGTTGAAGATAAAACCGGCATCACCGAAACCAAAAGCACGCCCGGCGGGAGCTGAGGCCGATGTTGAGATGAAATCGACAGAGGAAGCTCAGCCCAAAGTTCCAAAACGCCCGGCGGGAGCTGTGGCCTCGGATTCAACTCCGACAGCGAAGCCAGCTGTCAAAGCCAAGGCCATGCCTCGGGCACCTCCGGTGCCGCTCGTTTCGTCGCCTCTTGGGGAAAACGAAGTTGTGGCGTTGCAGTCAAGATCAGTTCCTGGTGCTGCCAATTTGCCAAATCTGAACTCGAAACAAGTCTGGATTTCCCGACGCGTCTCGGGCTTGCTCCGTGGATGGGAGCATAGTAAGCAATCCTGGCACAAGGTGCAGCCACCAAGCTTCGATGCTGGGCTATGGATGGATTTTGGCAAGGTTTACTCGTTCATCAAGCGAAAGTACGATGTCAACCTTACCAACGATGACCTGTTGACGGTTATCACATCCAATCACAGGTTCATGCTCGAAGTGAAGATTGCGCCAAAGGGGACTTTGGTCGGCGGAAAGTACCAGTATACTCCACTCAGAATCAAAGCGATCCAGAACCATAACGAATGGTCGAACAACAACGTCCAGGACGCACTTCCTGAACACGAACGCTTTGTGACTCTGGATGAGGAGTACACCTCGGTTGAATACCTGGCCGGCAAATTCCCTCGAGTTCCGCGTGGTGCGTTGGGAAAAGTGAAGGAGGTGGCGCCCACCATCCTCTATCACTACACGCACCGAGCAGCGCTGATTGAGATCATCAACGTGGGACTGATCCCTGGTGGAAATCGAACCGGAGCCAGATTCAGCTTCTTGACGAAGGAAGATCCATGGACCATCTCGGGCACCGACTACGCAGCGATGGCGGCTACTCGTCCCATTTGCGTGGCTTTGGACCTGCAGATGATGATCTTGAACGGGCACCGGCTCATAGAGACCACTGCTGGGACGATCCTGTGTCCCGACTGGCTCGCCAACAGGAACGTGATCTATGTGTACGACATGGAATCCAGGTGTTATGCCTTTGCGAACCATGTATACGCACACTACCGAGGTATCATCACCGGTGAGACCAAGGCATTCAATGCAGCACGCACTGGGGGACCAGTTGCCGATGACGATGACATGGTGAAAAGCCCACTGGAAAAGTACACCGACGAGGTCCTCGGGGACTATGAGAATTGGTGTGGCAAGGTGGATACCTTAAGTTCGTGTACGGCGAACTGCTCGAGCGCCCAGACGTGAAGGACCAGATGATATCAGGAAAGAGGAACCCTGATCTGGAAACCTACGAGGTCACGTATGTCGTTCGCAGACCCAATTTCAACGCCTACCGAAATCAGGTGTCGCCCAAAGAGATGCTGCCCAACTACAACCGCCCACGGTTTGATTGGCGCAAGGTCCACCCCGATGTCGAGGGGTATGGCAACACTCGATGGATGGTCGTTGAGGGCATTCAAATGCCAGAAGATCAATGTCCGACGTGCAGGAACACATTCACTCATGGTATGATGTCCTGCATCACTTGCGGCACCTTCCTCAAGGCCAAGGCAGCGCCAGGTCCAGGCGAAAGTCTGGCAAGGGCTACGCGAACCCAAGCTGAGACATCAGAGCATCGCTGGCGAGGAGCTGCCGGAAGTGATCAGTACCATGATTGGCAGCAGTCGTCCTCATCATCTTCATGGTGGTCCTCATCCAACCGGAATTGGTGGCAAGATGATCGCGGTCGTAGTAGTGATTGGCGGGGACAAGACTGGTGGAGTCAGCGCAGGTGGTGAACACGACGCACAGCGGGAGCTGTTGCCGGTGGAGAAGAGGCTGAAATCTACGGGTGACTCGGCTGTCTTTGTGCACTGTGTTATCCCTCATCGCACCGCGGGAGCGGTTGCCTGGATGACCGTTTCTGTGATGCACCGGGGGACCGGATGCCTGATACCAGCAGCTAATTCGTTTGAGTTCAGGTCGATGAACTTGGCTCTTAATCCTTGCAAAAGAAGCGCACATCTTTTGTCGTGCTTTGTCGCCACGCGGGAGCGTGTGCCTTGATGGCTTAGTTCCTGCTTTCTAAAAGGTTGGCATTGCACCTCCTGTTCCGCTGCGCCAAAAGAGTTACCTTTGACAGCATGCGTTGAGCTTTCATGCATGAATCCGTTTGAGACATGTTCAACTCTAGCATCAAAACATTACAGTGCTTCATGTGATCCGTCCTTGAGGTCAATCATCCTCTCCATCTCAAGGCACGTTCCGGTTCGTTGCTTCGCACGTACCGGGGGACCGGATACCATCGTAGGTCCTTAATTTGTGCACTGTACATAACTTCACTCCTCCCATTTTCGTTCAGCGGGGGGTGTCGTTTCACGCTAGCATGTCTAATACATGTCTCACTTACCTACCGCTTGGCTCAAGGAAAACCAGGTGCGACTTGTTGGTACTTTTCGGTCGTTCGCCTGTAACTACACCATCAAACCCACATCGGTTGAGAACCTGCCACAACCAGACCACAAGCGTGCACTCCAGTGCAGCAGACAGAACCTGGCAGTGTGACAGCTGGTAAGGTGGTGTACTGACGCGGCAGATGCAATGGTAGGTTGTTGCCAGACAAATTGCGAATTTATCAGTAACTCGTCACAAGGTGTGCTCGCAAGAAATGGATTGCAATGAAAACAGGTTCCGAGACCAACAGCTCTCGTCAGCCACCCACCAAGTCAGCGCAAAGGCTGCTTCGATACAGGCGGCACCACATGCTTTGAGCGAGCCGCTTGCGGCCAGAGAGTAGCTTGGCCTGAGCCTCATCACGCCAAAAACAAGTCTGATGCCCGCGCTTGCGTAGGAATCTCCGCCCAGGTAGGCCCATTGAGTTTGTGCAAACTGGCTTGTTCAGTTTCACTTTCCAAACTACAGTTTGTCACAGTCGTCCTCACTGCAAATTCAAAAGGCACAGTATCTTTTAAAATCCTTTTTTGTGCATCCCTATGTGTAAAGCTTTCTTGTCCTTTGTTGTGATGAAGGAACTCATTCTTCGTACACGGGTGGTGATTGTGCATTGGCGGCATAATGTGGTTTGATCAAATCTGGCACCCCTATCGACACATACTCCCAAGTGGCTGAAAGCCCCGGGGTTCGCACCAGCAGGGGCAAAGTCCCACCTGCTGAAGATTTCACCCATTTGAGGAGATACACGCTTGACGCTTGGAAGAAGAATGCAGGATTTCAAGCCTGATATGCATTGCCTTCTCCTTCATGATATGGTCCAGTTGAGGTCTGGTCGCTTTCCAAATCCTTTTTATATTTCAAGCTGTCAAGGTGCACGTTTCACCATGAAGACCCAGTCGACGGTTCCAGCCGAGTGATTGAACCAAAAGAAGATTCTTGAGACTGATGAAGCACTGCTGGTTGATACTGAGCCTTCCAAGTGCATAAGTGCATGCTGAGTGCTTGTAGACTCCAAATCGGTCACGGATGGACAGGCAACAGGCTCTGGAGTTGAATTTGTCAAGAAACTCAAGTAGTAGGTCTAGGTGTCCGTGCTGGGGCTCGGGCATTGCTTCGCAGTGGGGGACAGGGCTGGGGCCCTAGGGCCCCCGAGGCGCAATGTGCAAAGCTGCTGTAGGGACAAATCTTTATGTTGGACAGCTGCTTGAGTTCAGTTGGGCTGCTGAGGTGTCTTGATGTCCGATGCCCCTGCTGGCCAGCAAAGTGGAAATGCAGGTGCAGAGAACCGCGCGGAGACACAAACGAAAGCAAGACATTCCACAGCTTTTGCTGAGGTGCTTGTTGGCTTGATTCGGGGAAGAAGTTCTCTGGCTTAATTTCTGATACCATGAGGCCGGAATCTGAACTTTGAACCGTTCAAAGTTAACTTCACTTTCTCCCAGGCGGTACCCCTCAGCTGGTGATGTGACAAGCCCGCGATGACCTAAGGGCACCAGACTTTGAATCCTGTGATGTCTTCTTCAACTTGAGCCTAGGCCTGCTTTCATCCGTAGTGGTGACAACCGTGATATCGAGGTTCAGTACTCGCATGGCTTATAGAAAAATGCAAGAGCAAAGCATGATTTCTGGAGGTTGTCCAGCATTCTGCGAGCCTGTCTTCCACCTACAGCAACAGGCCGTGCGCTTGTAAACATGTGCAAAACCGAATGTGCACTCTGGCAAGGCCACTCCCAATGCAAGCTCTGGCTATTCCTGGGTACCGGGGGCACATCTCGGGGAAGGCCAGATGTGGTTTTCACAAGATTTCTTTGGCGTCCCTCCGTCATTGCAGCCCTGCAGCCATCCAGCCTGCAGTGCAGGTTGCAGAAAACGTTCATGGGGGCACCTTCTCCTCAGAGAACCAGCTTGCCACACAGGCACTTCCCTTCAGGCCACGATACGAAGTGCTGGAATCCCGAAACGAAATGCTGTGAACTCAGCTGTCCATGAAGTGGAGGTCTATGCGGCGGACTTGGTCAGAGCCGTTCAGGAAACAGCATTGCGACTCTGCCCTTGGCTTGGCCGTTGTGTTCCATTCCTGCTGTCTTGAACATGAGTTGACCTGCCAAGTCCAAGGCGTTGGGCACAGGCAAAGGGCTAGAGGCTTGATCAGCTCATGACGTTGAAGATAAGAATGCACACACAGAAATACTGTATGTATACATATATATATATATCTCTCTCCCCCCCCCCGTGTATATACGGTATATATATATATATATATATGTGTGTGTATGTATGTTTTAAAATCCAACTATATCTGGATATGATATGCAAAAATGGAAGTGGGATTGTGCTTGCATGGGTGGAGGTTCCTTCCAGGATTCCTGGCTACGGAGGGTCTTGCTGACCATATTTGCATGTCAAGTTCAGAAAAGAGATGTGACCAAATTCTGGACACCGGGTGTCAGGAACATTCCAGGGAAGCTGTCAGAGACAGTTCATGGTTCCCGCTTTGCTGAAGCGAATGCCACGGCCTGGTGCTCAGATCTTCAGCAACTGAAACCTGGAGTGCCAGAGCTCTGTGCAGGCCCAGTCTCTTCGAACACTCAATCCCGCTGCCGCAGCTTCAGGGAATCCGCTGATTGCTCTAGCCAGTCTGCTGTTTGGAAGCCTGTTTGCTCGTCCAGGTCACTTGCGATGGCTGGTTGAAGCGTGGTGTGTGGCCGGTTGCCCGGTCCTGAGAAACAAGCAGGTTGAAGGTAGAATAACGTGGTGTGACACCCTCTACACTGTTTTTGGTCCGAGTCATTTCAGATGAATCTGTGCAAGCGAATGATCATAGCTGAGTCTGCGACTGTTTGACCGCTTTGCTTGAACCCTTCTTCATTTGCAGCTGGTGGCATTTTTGGCCTGTGGCCACATGTTTCAAGTTTCAAGTGCTCATCGTGGCCAAATCTCGATCCTCGTATTCTTAGAATCCACACATGTCCTACACTCCGGAGGGACGCCGCGCTTGTCTGTGGGTCAGTTTAAACCGCCTCAAAGTAGAAATGGCGGATGTGTCGTGAATGTTGCGACGGTCGCGGCCTGCATGCTTCAGGACCGAATGCACACATACCAGTGGAACAACCGCTTTGTACAAACAGGCGGCCAGGCCAGTGCGGTCACATTCCTGAAATTCAAGAATGCAAGATGGGTGGATCCAAAAGCCCACTACTGCCAGAGAGTTCTTGTAGTGTTTGCCAATGCTACTAGAGGCGCCAGAGTGACCTAAGCCAGGCGCTCTTCTCGCCTGCCCAAGACAGCGAGAGCCTGGAGTTGCCAGCCAAGATGCACATATTAGCAGAGACAGAGGGGCAGAATTGTTACTGTACATCATTTGCTCATTATTTTTGGTTCTTCAAACTTAATGCAACATTCATTTGCAGCCTATTTGGCTGATTTGGATGATGCACAATGCCTGAACAGGGGCTACCCTACCTGCCAACCTGACAACCTCATGTCAAGACAAAGCAACTTGAAACGCGATGGGTCAACTGCCCGAGTGAGGGTTCTCGAAGATGCAGACCGTGATGAAATCCTTCGGCAGCACCAACAACTCAGCGTTCGCCGTTTCGCCATGTTGCCGGCTCGAGTGGGGCCGAGAGACAACTGGACAGTTGCTGAGCTTTTGCCATGAAACTAAAAAAGTATCCAACATAGAACATATAAAACACCAGCGTGGACATGCCAAGGAGACATACGGGAAATCCATACTACCCTGTTCACGGCTCCCAGCCTGGCGCCTAGGGTGCCAAAAGGCAGTAGCATCACGCTGACAACTTGCATCGGCTGTTTGGATTGGCGGAGCTTTCTTGAGGCAAGTTGCACCCGCCGGCTCTCCAAATGGACTTGCCCTTCAAGGCTGTCATGGTGGGCTCAAGATGTTTTGAGCTCACTGGACTCTGTTTGCCGACTGTGGTTTGACCGCCATGAATCAGCTGTTTCCCCGCCGCATTGCTAGATCAAGGTCAAGCAGATAATTTCAATGAAATGTCAATGGCAGTGTCAAGTGAGACATGGAGAGAGATAGACTACCTCGCGTCAAACAAAGGGACACTAAGATTGGAAGAGAGGGTTTAAACAAGAGGTTTTAGAAAAGAGGATTTAGGATACTAGGTGCTCATTGTGGTCTTTCTCATTGTTTGCGCTGCCGCACCTGCCTGATTCAATGGGTTCGGGCTCGGTAACATCGCAGCTCCTATCAGTGCTGGGCTTGAGATCTGAGACAAACTCATGTTTGCAGCAGCTCACTCATGCATTTGCTGATTGTTTGGCTGGACCCTGGTCAGCTGTGCCTTGGTGGCTGCTTCCTATGTTTTACCTACTTGGGATTCTGACATCTGGAATTTGCAAGAGGCGACTGCACAGAGTTGCCGTTGCAAAGCTCAAAGCCTTTGACGAGGTCAAGAAAGGGTCAGGAAAACCAATAATCGAAGCAAGGAAGAAAGCAGAGCTGGCGGCATCTGCATTGGACTTTGGAGACAAGGCCGGTGCCAAAAAGTTTCTGTACGAGGCGCTCAGCCTCATTGACAGCTGAATTGCCGGCAAGCGCATGCATTGCCCGCCGGCAACCGTATGCATTGCCTTCCGGCAGCCACCAGTGCAGTGTGGTGCAGATTTAGTGCATGCAGTGCATGCAGAAGGAAGACCGATCTGGGAAGACTTGCTGCTTGGCCAAGAAAAAGCTTGTGTGTAGTGCTGAGGATTGTCGCCTTCTTCCATGCTTTTCACGTGAACCACAGTGATGCATTTGGCTTGCTCCGTTCTCATGTAGACTGTTGCAGGCAACGAGCTGGCCAAGCAGTCCACCACCAAGTGCCATTTGCGAAAGTGGAGCCTGGAACCCCCATGCTTGCACACCACCAGGTCAATGCGGCCGCCGCCCAGCTGGAAGGTGCATATTTGCAGTTTGACTTTGCATTTCCAAATTCAACTGTTTCTTTTTTTTCCCAGGAGCAGGCCTATATGCCAGGACCTGGCCTGCTTGATCTCGGTCGCAACCTTGGCTTTTTTTTGTCAGTTTGTGGGTTTCTTCGGTTTCTTCGCGCAGAGGTGCTCAGGAAGATGATGAGGTGAAATGCGCTTTGGGACGTCATTCTCCGGGGTTCTTTTGTGAACTGATTTTTACAATCATTCCTGCTAGAAGTGATCCTCCAGGTCACAAGGAAGCTTCAGGAGGCTGTCAAGGCGGCCGCTGTTCAATATGGATTGGCACTTAAACACTCTCCGATGCTGCGCGCAATGTTTGAAGCCGTGGCATTGCTGCTCTTTTGGCAGCGACTTGCACGATTTTGTTCTTACCATTTCTTCTCAACATTTTGTCAAGTGGTAGCGATGCTGCCGCTGGTGCCTCTGGTGCTTTAGCTAAGGCTAAGGCTGAGGCCAACCCATGCTGATGCTGGTGCTGCTTCGTTGTCATTGACTTGTCGTTGTTGTTGTGGTTGAAAATGCTGTTGTGATTGTCGTTGTGGTGGTGATGGTGGTGGTGGTGGTCGTCGCCGCTGCCGCCGCCGGCGTCGTCGTCGTCGTCGTCGTCGGGAAATGGACAATGTAGCGGCAACGGCTCCAATGCGACACGCATGCGTTCTGTGGCGCTGTGCATGGAGTCTCCCATTGTTTGCACTCGGTAAGCCCGGTAAGCTACGTGGTGTTGTGCCACACGCACCCCACACACACTTAGACAATGGGTGTGCAGTTAACCATAATCCCGGAGGAAAGGAATGGCTCAACGGAAAGGTGAAGTGTCCACAGAACTGAAGGTGTTTTAACAAAATGGTTTCGCTCGAACTCATGACTGCAGCTGTGCAATCAAAGCGGCTGAGGGAAATACAGTAGGTTTATGGGAGAGTAGCGTGAAAACCACCGTGACAACAAACCAAAGGAAGAATGGAGTCACAGCTTGGTAGAACGGCAGGTGCGCAGGGCTGATCAGGCCTGCTTCCCACTCTCGCCCACAGCTTCGCTGCATGTGGTAGGGCGAGAGTGCCACATGTCACACCGGCCCCTGCTTGCAAGTTGATTTGTGGAGTGGAAACCCTTAGAAACAGAGTAGGACACACTTCGACATTGGTTTTCAGTTAACTCAATTTCCAGGAAAAATGGTGATGGAACGGCAAGGTGGAGAGTCCGCAAATGTGTAGGTGTTTGAACAAAAGGTGTTCTTTCATGCCTGCGCTCAAATGCAAACGCGATCGGCGGCTGCAGAATGCTGCTGGAAAGGGTTTTGGGAGATAGCATGCAGAAACCACCATGAAACAAACCGAGAGTGGAACAGCTTGAGCAAACGTTTCAGTTGCAGGTGCACGAATGGACGTCTCCATTCGCTTCCCCTCCAGCGACTTAGCTTCGTTGGACAAGGTTTGTCGCTGGAGGCATGCCCCCCTGCTGGAAACGCGAGAGAAGGAACCCTTCGGAACAGGGCTGGGCACACACACGGTGCTGCTTGGCGGCGCTCGCGTGAGAAGCCTGAATAGATACCTAAAAAGCCTTAGAAACGAAAGAAAGAAAGACAGAAAGAGCAGCGCTAAGAGGGCAAGAGAGAAAGATAGGTGTAGAAAAATGAAAAAATGAATACTTAGCCCTTGACTGGGGTAGGGAAACGAGCCTCAAGAGCCACCTAAAAAGCCTGAGAGAAAGCCCAACAAACGACGAAAAGCGCAAGAAGGAAAAGGGGGGGGCAGGGAGGGGGTGTACGTGTGTGTGTTTGAATACCTAGCACTCTAGAATTACTGAATACTTAGACGAAGTGAATTAGGTGCACTAGTTAGGGAGCGGGACTTTTGTCTTACACCGCCCGGGTAGAGTAGACTAGAAAAGGGACAACAAAGGGAAAGGCACCGACACACAAGTGTGTCGAGTACCATTTCCCTATGTTACCCTAATTAGGTAGGGAGTAGAACACAGTGGGGGGGGGCTCGGGAGACCTGCCTCAAGTGGGGGGAAGCCCGGCGGCTATCAAATTCGTTTTTAAGCCCGACGGCTGTATAATCAGTGAATTCAGGGTGGAGAAGGAGCGGTGAGGAAAAGTCAATGAAGGAACGATGATTCAGTAACACGATTCCCGGCATGCAAACGGCGCCTCCTTGCGGAGGATCACACCCAGCGCCCACGTGGGACGGCTGAGCGGCTCACACTTCGACATTGGTTTTCAGTTAACTCAATTTCCAGGAAAAAATGGTGATGGAACGGCAAGGTGGAGAGTCCGCAAATGTGTAGGTGTTTGAACAAAAGGTGTTCTTTCATGTCTGCGCTCAAATGCAAACGCGATCGGCGGCTGCAGAATGCTGCTGGAAAGGGTTTTGGGAGATAGCGTGCAGAAACCACCATGAAACAAACCGAGAGTGGAACAGCTTGAGCAAACGTTTCAGTTGCAGGTGCGCGAATGGACGTCTCCATTCGCTTCCCCTCCAGCGACTTAGCTTCGTTGGACAAGGTTTGTCGCTGGAGGCCTTGCCCCCCTGCTGGAAACGCGAGAGAAGGAACCCTTCGGAACAGGGCTGGACACACACACACAAAGCGCGCGCTCAGAGGCTCAGAGGCTGCGCTGCCGGTGTGCTGACTGCGATGAGTGGAGGGGGTGGGGGTGGGGGTGGGGGTGGGAGATGTGTCACCCCATCGAACCGGAGTAACAGCGGTCAGACAGACATGTTCCCGGTTCGAAAAACGGGCTGGTGGTGTCGAGGTGAGCGACGGTGAGAGGAGAGGAGAGGAGAGGAGAGGAGAGG